TCAACACCATCACCTTTCCCTGCACAGTTCTGCTCAGCCTACTTGTGATAAAGGCTGTGAAAACAACACCTCGACTCCGTACCAACAGCAATTTCTTGCTAACCTGTTTAGCGATTATTGCCGCATTGACTGGTCTCCTTGGCCAACCATTGTTTGTCCTGGGGAAGATTTTCGTATTATTCGGTTCAGTGAGAGTGGGACGGTTGAAACTTCTTTTATCTCGTCTCTACTTGTTACCCTTGTATCTTCCTACTTCCATCTGATGTTGGTTACTTTCGAGAGACTCAGGGCCATCACATTTACGATGTAATACTCGAACATTATAACTGATAAGAACATGAAGATAGCTGTGTTAGTAGTTTGGATCATTGCGCCCACTTTTGGGGTTTTAAGAGGAATGAAAAAGGTCAAAGTAGCAGTTTCTTTGACGGGGCCACTCGCCATTTCATGTATTCTCTTTCTTACTTTCGCTTACCTCATCAGGTATCGAGAAACTTCTCGCCATAAAGACAACATAAAAACTCAACAACTGCCCTAAAAGGATCTGGAAAGATTTCTGAAAGAGAACAAAGCATTGAAGACAACCCCTTGCCTTCTTCCTGCTGGTTTCTTTTTCATAGTTATAGTTACAGGCCTTCATGATAGTCGCTCCATCAACGTTCCATTGATACAGCCATGTGCCATGCTAAACTCGCTTGTTAATCCACTGATTTACTGCTGGAGACAAAAAGAAATAAGAAATGTCATTCGGAAGGAGAACTCAGGTCGTGCATTTAGACATACAAAACCGATGAACGAAACTCGTTAGTTATTGTTTTGTATGAGACTTGCATTTTCTATCACGAGTAGTAATTCGATAATTAACCTCACGTAAAATTACCAGCATCGGAGGAAATCGGAAATCAGTGGAAATCCTTTCTTTCAAATGGTGTTGGCACTTGTCCCAATTTTGAACTTGACTTTGATTTTTATAACACAAATTTTGGTCGGCTTAAGAGTTGTCGGTTGTGCGATTTGATTGGCTTTCAGGAAACCAAATCGTCTAGAGCATGTATAAACAAAATCGTTCTCGAACTTTAGCAACATTACAGACGAACAGCTTCTTCTTAGTCTAGTTGTATTATTGACATGGCCGAAAATCAAATTAACATACCTTTCCGAACTTTCTAGAACTTTCATACAATTGAGACCTTTGATATCAACATGTTTTTGGTTATTTTTTTTTTTAGAGCTGGGCGTCTATTGTTTGCACACCTGATGCATTTAAACGTATTGAGACTCGCAGAGACCGTTCTTAAAATACCTCATTAATGCTATGACAAGCAACTTAAATATTTTTGTCATAATTATACCAATAGCATTTTATATTATATGTATCATAAATCTTGTTATAATTGCAACTAATTATCATGAACTTTTCAGTTTAAATAGAATTGTATTTTATCGCGATTCAGTCTACGGATTGCAACGTAACTATTCAAATGAAGCTTTTCTAAAGTCGATTTCTATTCTAATCTGTTGTTCATTGTCAATCGGCTGCACAATTTTAAGAGAGCGATACCTTTTGATCTCCAAGATACTATTTTGCCGCTAATAATATACATGGAAAAATTACTCAGTTCTGATTGGTTGAGATAAATGCAGTTTTCAGGTAATTCAGTGCAGAAGAGAGTTAATTCAGTGCAGAAGAGGGTTAATTCAGTGCAAAGAAAGAAACAAATCAGACATTCTGATTGGTCAATAATCAAAGAAACTCACAGATAGCCAATCAAATGCGAGCCTTGGATGTCGCAACAAAATTTGAAAAGTTGAAAATTTGCGAGCGAAACAACGGCCGGCGTTTTAAGTAGGCTTTCTTTCGCCACCGCAGCTGATAAACAGCTTAAACAACGAAAACACTGTAAAAAGCACTCGTTTTTGGTTGTCGGTTTGGAAAAGTGGTGTTTAGAGAAGGGAATTGCCGAGGAAATCGAAAATTACGAGCCGACCCAGCTTAACACTTTGTTCGAGCGATCCAAAGCCGAAATTAAAAACAAACATGGTAAAACCTCGGAAACGACGATTCCATTTCATCGAAAGTGATTCGGACACAGACTGAACAATTGCTTGAAATGTTTAGCCGGACTTTGAACGTTTTTGCACCTTAAAGATGTGAAGATATCATTGCATACTATTGTTTTGATCGTACACCGAACGCACGGTTTAAATAAATTATTTTTGCACTTGATGCGCGCGCTTTGCTCATGTTTAATTATGATAAGCTATCTCGTATTTTTCCATGTATATTATTAACACGTAATCACATGATTTTTCTCGTGCAATTTGGAATAAACAAGCACTTGTTAATTTTTTCAAAGACTACAAATTGCCCGTAGGGCTCGTGCAATTTTGTTAGTCTTTAAAAAAAACTTACTCGTGCTTATTTATTCCAAATTGCATTCGAAATCATGTGATTACCTAAACGAATTGACGAAACGATCACGATATTGAACTTCAGGTAGTTCATTAGATTTGAACTCAGATCAGATGTCATCGGTTCCTTCATACAGGCGATAGAGCAATGTCAATCCACTGATTTACTGCTGGAGACAAAAGGAAATGAAAAAGGTCATTTTTAAAATAAGAAACCAGGTCGTGCATTCAGAGATACAGTGAAGGAGGGGAATGTAAGGAAAAGAGTGATTAACTTAATAACTATATTTCTAGATTTTGAACTGGCCTTTTCCATCCACTTTTAAACAACTCGCTTGTTTATATGACAATTGAGATTTTGACCACGACAGGCAATTCTATAATCAACCTCTTGCAGGTTCCCAACATCGTTGGAAATCGGCAATAAGTTGGAAGTCCTTTCATTCACACAATGTTGGCGCTTGCCATAAATTTTCTTCCGGAATTTTCTGGAATAAGTTGAAAATGTATATAAGGAATCAGTCGTGTAGTTGTAGTTTTTATTGTTGCAGGCAGTAACCGATTGTCTGGAAAGCTATACCGAGAGAGTTACTTTGATATATTTCAAAGATTCTGTTTCAAGGGGATTTGTTGACAACTGTGAGATTGCGTCAGTGGTCAGCTAAGTTATAGTCTGTAGTGGGCTTAAGTGAATTGATTAAGGATAATTAATCTTATTGCTTTTAGGAGTCGCTCGTTAATAAGAATATTGCTCGTTGTTTAATAAAAATTTTTTATGGTTCGGTTTGTCGGATTTTAACGTTCTCTCTGTCTCTTAAGCCGTACGGTAACAATATTGCCTGCGATAAAATCCAAATACGAATAAAAGCAATTAGCATAAAATAAACGACTTTGGATTTGATGTTGAGAATTCGATTCGTAATCAAATAATTGTATAATTGAAATGCGAGCTAATTCCATCAATTTAAGTCATCAAATACATTTACAACGTGTTTTCTGTAAGCAAAACAACACACTATCATAAGGAATAAAACCAAACAGAACGGCAATCAGAAGGGAGATAAGTTATTTTTGCATAGTCATAACATAGCTCACTACGGATAGAGGAATTCAAAGACTTGATTTCAAAGGCATTTACCCGTAGCTAGCCGACTAAATTTCCATAATTTAAAATGACGCTGTCTACATATTCCAAAAACTCTAACAGCCTCCGTACACTTGTAGACAACATTTTCTAGATGTATTCCTTTTAAAAATTGTGAATAACTTGCTCTTCGATTCCTGTTTGGGTTGATTTAAATTACGGAATATTGAATGGAAAAAGTAAAGAATTTTGCTCATTACTGCAACTCAAACTGTAAGACCACGGCGCACTGAAGATAACACTAGTTAGGCCTGTTCCGTTTGTGCTCGTGAAATGCTGAAAAGTTTCTCACTAAAATGCTTAAAAAATTGCTATCAAACTTCGAAAAAAATCCAAAAATTGCTATCTTAATTTCAAAAGCTACTAGCTAAATTTGTTGATATTTTTAAGTAAACGCTGATTGAAAGCTTTATTTTCGGAGTTCAAAATAATTGTTAATAACATCGGTCAAGAAAAATAGCTCGAAACTTTGCTTCAAAGAGTTACTTACAAACATGGGCGAAATTTAAGAAGAGTCTTGAGTCTAACGGAACAAAACACTAGGGTTTACTTGACGTCTTTCCAAAAGTCATCTCAGCCCATTATCCGTTATAATCTCAGGTTTGCCTTGAAATAAAGTTTGTTTTATGAATTCACGTGACGTCTATTTTGCCTTGGCGCCATGGGCTTAGAGAAACGTATTTGCATCGGGGCTTTTTCATCGCCATTTACGTGTAAATCACTGTCAGTCAAAAGCTCACCGTTATAGGTTCGTCAGCAATTAAAGACTTTCATTAAAAATTTCAGCCGATTGTCCTTTATAATCTTAGATAAGGATCGCAATATGTTCAAAAGTTTGATAAAAATGAATAAAGTTCGCAGAAACTGAGGTTTTCTATAAAATCGTTGAGTTTTTTGTCTTGATATGTGCTCTAAACTTATATTTTGCTCAAAAATTTCTCAAAAAGGCAAAAAAGAACATGCCTGAGATGGCTGGAAACGTCAAAAGTTACTGAAATGTTGTCGAGCACTATCAGGAATAGGCTTAACACCGGTGTGATAGAAACTAATATTTTTAATGAAAGTCTTTAATTACTGACGAACCTAAAACGGTGAGCTAAATCTAAGGAAAACCTGCCAACTTGTAAAAACACATTTGGCAATATCTGGAACGGCTAATTAAAAATGGCCTAATCATTTTTGGATTAAAATTTACTACTGGAAAGAGATTGAGAGAAATCGATCTGATTGGGCAGCGTTGAGTGTTTCTGATCCAGCTTTGTTCTGTATTGTTGCTGGGCACATGTGAAGTGAGAAGTTATTCCCAGGAGATGTTTAAACCACTCACTAGAAAAGGCTGTAGGTTTCTTTTGCCTTTGCCGTTCCCCGATTTCATGCGAGAGCGACGGGTTGAAAAAGTTGTTCCTAGAGACAGACTTGACTTGCATTGAGATTCCAATTCGAGATGGTAAACTTTTCCTTTGCTACTTTTACAAACACTACAAACATCACCAGAAGAGAAGGCGACAGAGAAGTCCCATCGTTGGCTGGTTCCATAATCATAATCATCATTAACACCATCTCTTTTCCCTGCGCAGTTCTGCTCAACGTACTTGTGATAAAGGCTGTGAAAACAACGCCTAGACTCCGTACCAACAGTAACATCTTGCTGGCCTGTTTAGCGGTGACTGACGCATTAACTGGTCTCCTTTGCCAGCCATTGTTTATCCTGTGGAGAATTTTCCTAGTATTCGGTCTCAGTAATAGTGAAACGGCTAAAATTTCTTTCATCTCGTCTCTACTTGTTACCCTTGTATCCTCCTACCTTCATCTGATGTTGGTTACTTTCGAGAGACTCCTAGCTATCAAATTAACAATGCAGTACTCAAACATTATGACTGAGAAGAACATGAAGATAGCTGTGTTAGTAGTTTGGATCATTGCGTTCATTTATGGGATTTTAAGAGGAATGAAAAAGGTGTTAGCAGCGCGCTCTTTGACAGGCCTTCTCACCATTTCATGTATTCTCTTTCTTACTTTCACTAACTTTATTATGTATCGAGAAACTGCTCGCCATAAAGACAAGATTAAAACTCAACATCTTCCTCAGGAAGATGTGGAAAGATTTCTTAAAGAGAACAAAGCACTTAAAACAACCCTCTTTGTCGTTGGTGCTGTTCTTGTTTGCCTTCTTCCAGTTGGTTTCTTTTTCATAGTTGTAGTTACAGGCCTTCATGATATTTTCCCCATTAACGTGCAGTTGATGCAGACATGTGCCATGCTAAACTCGCTTGTTAATCCACTGATTTATTGCTGGAGGCAAAAAGAAATGAGAAATGTCATTTTCGGAATGAGAACTCAGGCCGTGCGTTTAGACATACAAAACCGATAAACGAAACCTGTTAGTTATTAATACACGACTGCAAATATATGAAAATCACATATGTGTACTGCGGTTGTAGAAACGACCCTAAGCGATCCTCGCAGTTACGAACAATACTGAACTAATAGTTGAAATAAGGCTTGGAAAAAATTCAGGACCGTACGGTACACTACTAGTTCAGTAGGGTTCGTTACTGCGAGGAGCGCTTATATTCGTTTCTTAAACCGCAGTGCACATATATGATTTTCATATATTTTCTTTCATGTATTCATCCCTAGGAGGGCTTACTTGGAACCAACATAATGACCAGCTCCCAGTTGGCTTGTTAGCTCAGTTGATAGATTGGTGGTTACTTTAATTGGGTATTTTTTTTAACTTCAATTGAAAGGTGTTCTAGGTAGAAGATAATATCCTTGTCATGCAGGAAGTCGATCGGAAAGGCTACGAGCTAATAAAAGGGCGGCCTGAAGGACTATATTTGTTGAAAATTAAAAAGAACATCTACACAACAACAGTGCCTGGCATTAGTGGTGTAACTTGACTCTAGCATTCAGCAAACGAAGCAAATCCTATACACTTGGAAGCATTTCTTAGCTCGAGCTTCAGGAAACAGCATAAAAAAACCTATTTGAGGAAAACCACGTAGTTCTTATCTAAAAGGATTAAACAACTAAGTATTTCCTCTATTAAAATACAAGCAAAAAGTTGCATTCAATGTTTATTGAGAACTCTAAAGAACGGGGGCAATTGACAACGGCAACAACAATCTTTGTTTGTACTCCCTCTTGCCTTAAAAGCTTTCTCAAAAAATAAAATATTAGAAATACAATTTTAGCATTGGCTGCCTGGAATAATCATAGGCAATGAGTGGATGAGGTTGAGCATGATATCATAATTTATCAATGCCGAGGTCTGAGGTATCTGCTGAAACCGAAGGCTGAGGCAGATAACACTGACAGATACGAGGTTTGATGAAATGTATGTTAGGTGCAAGTATGATGCAAGTATAGAGCTAGCACGTTTAGTTTAGAGTTTAGAGTTTCTCGTTTTTTACAACTGTTAATAAATTGCATTATCTAGTAAAGAGATGGCCTAAAAATCTTCCTTGTGGAAAAATTCATTCAGCAACATCAGGGATATATACTTTTGAAATTCTGCTTGCTTAATTTCTCTTTTTCTCTTGATAGTGTGATACTTCTCTAGAAGGAAACAGTTTGTATTTAATGGAGAAAAATCGCAATTAACACTTCAACTGCCCGTGAAGGCCCATCAAACAAATTGATTGTGGTTTGTGTGTGTGTTGATATGCAGAAAATGGAGCTACGCTACTGGCGGGAATATGGTGACATTAAAACAAGAATAAGTCGATTGAATGAAAAGCGCTCGTTGATACCGTGAGTATCGAGAGTGCCGATTTGAAAGATAAGTTTTTGTTCTAGAGTTTTGTGGCTTTCTGAAATGCTCAGATGTAGGGAAAGGCCGCAAACTGCCATATCCTGCCTATAATGATTAGTGAGTTTAAAGTGCCTAGCGACTTTTTCGGATGCCTCCTTATATTTCCTTTTTACGTCGCGAAAGTGTTCTCGAAGTCGTCTTCCTATTTCACCAACGTATGACGTTTTGCAAAAAGTGCAAGTTATGCAATCTAAAAAATTCAAGAAAGAGAATACTTGAAATGGCGAGAAGAACAAAGCGGAATCGGAAATGCTAAACGCCACCCAATCAGATGGATTTCCTTCAAGCTCTGTTCATAGATAAATGTTAATCCCAAAGTGATTTAGGTAAATTTTTAATCATTTTTTGCAGATATTGCCAAATGTGTTTTTAAAAGTGAAAATCGTTTCAGTCGCTGATAGCTTGATCGCCTGCTCACTTACTTCATCACATAATTCAGGATTTTTTCCTTATTCATCTCTCGATAAATGTTTCGTGTTTCATGAGCTGAAGAATTCTCTTTCGTTAGATTAGATTTGCATTCAAATAAAAACTAAATCTGTTACATATAAATCAATTTATTTGACATCTGTTTTAGTTTGGTTTTTTTATCAAGGCTATTTTATGGCCATTTATTATTTATGTGCAAGACTCAATGTTTCTATTTTCTTGCCACGTCATACTGGATTAGTTCAGTGATTTGAATTACGAAATATTGCTTGGAAGGAGTAGCCGAGTTTTACACATGACCAAAATACAAATATAAAACTAGGAATCATTAAACTGATATCATTAAACTAAAACGGTAAGCTTGGAACTCACGAACGATAACATTCCCAAGAAAAAAACCGCGACGCAATTCTGTTGTTGAAACCTATGGCGCAGTAGTACAATAGATGTCAAATGAGTTAATACATATTTTTCTTCTTATGCAAATATTAGTTGATGGACGAAAACTAAGAACATAACATGCACGAGATACTAATCTTTCGACAGAAAACGAAAAAATCTCCTGAAGTTGTAACATAAGAAGTTAACTGTCGATAGAGCTATTTCCAGTTGTCGCGACAACTTTGTTCAAGCTTTCACCGGCTGAAACGATTTTGGGCTTATAAAAACTCATTTAGAGCTTTCTAAAAAATGTAATTAAAAAGAGAACACAATCAGTTTCTGATTAAGATTTTTTTATGGGCAGTGCTTGAGAGGAATCCATCAAATTAGGTGGCGTTTAGCATTTCCGATTCACTTGTGTTTTGTATTGTTGCTGTGCACATGTGGACTGAGGAGTAATTCCCAGGAGATCCTTTAACCACCTTTTATTAATGGTACCACCTTTCCTTTGCTTTTAATTTTTTCCGTTTTCATTCGAGATTGAATGACTGGTAGAGAAAGCTGTTTCGAGAGACAGACTTGATTTGCATTGGGCTTCCAGCTCGACAAAGTAAACTTTTCCTTGGTTAGTTATACAAAGGTTACAAACATGGCCAGTAAAGAAGACGAGTCAGGAGATGTTCCATCGGTGGCTGGTTCTATGGTCATAATCATCATCAACACCATTGCTTGTCCCTTCACAGTTGTGCTAAACGTGCTGGTGATAAAGGCTGTAAAAACGACACCTCGACTCCGTACCAACAGCAACATCTTGCTGTCCTGTTTAGCGGTGACCGATGTATTAACTGGTCTCTTTACCCAGCCATTCTTTATCCTGTGGCAGATTTTCCTTCTACTCGGTCTCAGTGAGAGTGAAACATTCGAGAACTGCTTCATCTTATCTGTGATTGTATTGCAAATAGCTTCATACCTTCATCTGATGTTGGTTACTTTCGAGAGACTCATAGCGATCAAATTTACGATGAAATACTCAAACATTATAACGGACAATAATATTAAGATAGCAGTGTTAGTAGTTTGGATCATTGCGTTCATTAATGGAGTTTTAAGAGGAATGGAAATGGTCAAAGTAGCACGTTCTTTTGCAGGTCTTCTTACTCTGTCATGTATCCTTTTCCTTGCTTTTGGTTACTGCATCATGTATCGAGAAACACGTCGCCACCAAGAGAAGATAAAAAATGAACAATTGCCCCAAGAAGAAAAGGAAAGATTTGCCAAAGAGAACAAAGCGCTGAAGACAACTTTGTTTGTAGTTGGTGCTGTCGTCATTTGCCTTCTTCCACTTTTTGTCTGGATTTTCGTTATAGCTACAGGCCTTGAGAACACAATTATTTTTCCGATGAACAAACCATTAGTGTTTACATGTGGCATGCTAAACCCGCTTGTCAATCCACTGATTTACTGTTGGAGACAAAAGGAAATGAGAAAGGTCATTTTTGGAATAAGAAACCAGGTCGTGCATTTAGAGATACAGTGAAGGAGGGAATGTAAAGAAAAATGTGAACAACTTGATACCTACATTTCTAGATTTTGCGCTGGCCTTCTCCATCTCTTCGATGAACGGAACTCGCTAGGTTTCATCGTTCGTGGATCATTCTTTTAAGTTTCTGGAAAGTTTTAGAATGCCTAGTCGTGCGAACATGCTTTCATGAACTTTCTACTGTCTAGAACATTCTATTAGATTTTGTAGTTGTATAACTACCAAACTAGTTGTGTTGTAAGCTTCCGAAATTTTCGAATGTTCTAGAATACGTTGAAAATGTGTATGAGGGATCAGCCCCTGTTGTAGTTATTGTTGTTGTTGTCGGCAGTGACCGATTGTCTGGAAAAATACGTCGATAGAGTTACTGTGATATATTTCCGAGATTTTGTTTCAAGCAGATTTGCCGACAACTGTGAGATTGTGTCAATAGTGAGTTAAGTTATAGTTTGTAACGGACTTAAGTGAGTTTATTAAGGATAATTACTGTATTGCCTGCAGGAGTCGCTCCTTAATAAGAATATTGCTCGTTGTTTGATAAAATAATTAGGTGTGTGTGGAATGTTAGCGTTCTTTCTGTCAGTTAAACTACACCGTAACAATATTGCCTGCGATGAGATGTAAATACGAATAAAAGCAATAAAAAATAGTATAAAGACTTGGGATCTGTTTTTGATAATTCAATTCTTATTCAGATAGTTTTATGGTTGAAATTTTAGGTAATACCATTAATTCAGGACGTCAAATAGATTTTCATAAGTTATGAAACCAAAGAGAACGGAAATCAGAGGGAAGATCAGTTATTTTGGTATTCTCGGATAGTCATGACATACCTTACTTTGGATGGAGAAATTGAAAGAATAAATCTTAAGGGTATTTATCCCCTAGCTAGGCGACTGAATTCCCGTAATGAAGAATGACGCTATGACTTATCTACTTATTCCAAAGTGTTATCGATCGTGAAACAAAACTCCAGCAACCTCCGTAAACAGGTAAACAACGTTTTCTCGATGTAGTTCCCGTTTGCACAATTAACATTCATTTTAAAATTGTGAATGAGTTGATTTTTAGATCGGGTATGCTCAAACCGTTTTTTTCTTTCTTTCTTGCTCTCACTCTGTTTGGTTGATTTAAATTAGGAAATTTTGTACGGAAAAAGTAAAGGGTTTTGCTCATTACCACAACGCAATTATAAAACCACGGC